GTTTAGGGTCTTAGGGGTTTAGGGGCGCTACCAAGTATTGCGGTTTTGCCGATGGTTTCAGACTCAGAGAGTACTTGCAAGGCCTGCCTTGCCAGCTGCTCCTTCGGCGCAGGCTTTGTCATCGGGGACTCCCATCACACTCAAACTTGCGGGACCTGAGATGCACGGTTTAGGGTTTAGGGTCAACCCTCGGGCTATGCAGGCACCCGGAAGCAGCCAGTTAGAATCATGTCGCCAGGGTCCGCCGGCTGGCATGAAGAACTCGTCTTCATGGCCTTTCCAAGAGGCACTCGCACGCGCGGACCAGCGAATCTCCGGTATCGACCGTCGGGACCCAACCCTAAACCCTAAACCCTAAACCCCTAAACCCCTAAACCCTAAACCCTAAACCCTTAAAACCATAAAAACCCTAAACCCTCAACCCCCAGCCTGACTCCTGTGGACTAGCTCCAGCACGTGCTTCTCTGATCGAGGCCGCCACCATCGGGAAGAGTCCCTGTGGCAGCACCGGATCTCCATTTCACAGTGTCTGAAACCAGGAAAGGGGCAGTTTTCAACATCAGGGTCCCTTTTATAGGGTCCTTTTTGTAAGGATGCCGTACTATATTTGAGACCTAAAGAGGGACCCTAGTTTAGAAACTACCCCTGTGGATGGAAGCATGAATGTAAAGCACAAGTGCACACTGTGTGAAACCAGGCTCATGAAGAGACCAGGACCTACAGTCACCTCTGGTCACGGTCTGGCCTGAAGGTTGGTGCTGTCTCAACTTGCCTGCCAGACGTGCATGGGCATACTTTCCTAACAAGCCCCGTGGTTGACGGTTCACGGTTGAAGATTTCAAGTCTACAAAAGCTTTTACAGTTCAAAATGCCGGTGCTGGCCACTTTTACACAGAAAAGGGTCATGAGGCGACCCCTAAACCCTAAACCCCAAAACCCTAAACCCCAAAACCCTAAACCCCAAAACCCTAAACCCTAAACCCTTGTTTGCCGTTACCTCTGCTACGTACCAGAGCCAGGCATCTTGCGGACACGGTGCACTGCCAGGATGGATCCGGATTGGTCAGATGACTGCACAAATATCCTAAGAAAGGCGAGAGCAAGGAGCGATAGTCTGCTAGTTGCTCTACCAAGTTCTTAATCTGACAGTTTTGTGCTTTCGTTGTGAAGTTGTTGGTAGTTTTTGCGGTTCTTATCTTACTGATCTCATTGCTGTTACTATCTTGCCTCTTAGTCTTCCGTACAGCTCATACTACTAATTCGTGTGAGGTTTGGGATGCCTGGGCCAGATCGATGACGTTTTTGCATCCGAAACCTGAGGCTAAAACCCACTCGGGAGTTTCCGAAAATGAGGGGTACCTTATTTGGGGATCCTTATGATAAGGATCCTACTATTTAGGGTGCTATATTGGGGTCCCCTGTTTTCGGAAACCCACTCACATGCGGACCAGCTTCACATGAGAATGCCCATCAAGAGGCGGCCGGGCCATCCCTAAACGGAAGCTCCCTGAATTGCAGGGCGGGCACGACCTCGCTGCGAGACTTCTTGTCTCAGTGGCTGCGGGCGAGCGAACATGGAAGCTGCAAGTTCCAGCAAACTCGCGGCTGCCACAGTTAGGGCTTAGGGTGGTTTAGGGTTCAGGGCTTAGGGTGGTTTAGGGTTTAGGGTTTGCGGTTCGGGCTTAGGGCTTAGGGTTTGTTCTTCTCCTGCGAACATCCTTATTCCTGGCGACCTGTTTTTTAGCACTCGCTGCCACCACCTACTTTCTGTATTGGCCGAAGTTTCAATGCTCATGAATAGTAAGGGACGCACACATCAGTGAGCTCGAAGGACTCGGCATCAGCAAAATCACGGCAGCGCAGTTTTCGCTGGTCCTGGTGGCAGCTTGTTGGGCGATGGAGGCCAAGAACAAGGCCTTCGTGCAGGACGGCCGTGAAACTCTCTCTGCGTACTCGGCGCTTGGCCGTTACATGGAGATCTGGCATCTCATGCTCGCACACAAATGAGTTTACACCCTCTGGAGTGCGACATCATGACAAGCAAGAACACGATCAACGTCTGTTGCTATGTACAACATACTATATTAACTATACCATACCGTAGTATACTAAAACAAATTATGATATACTATAACGCGTTCTTCTATACTAGAATCGAAGATATACCAGTTTATACTATTTTCTATGCCTTTTTGACAAAGGCTCCTGGAGCCATTCGCGTGCACGGTGCACAAGAACTATATCGGATTCTTCTGAGCTCGGAGGTGCCAAGGCCACACCGAGAGCATGCCGGTAGACCTGCGAAAAAGAGCGGAAGGCAACGAAAAGGCTCAGGGTTTAGGGTTTTCTCTTTGAGCACTCATCCCGGCCTGCTCAGCTCCCTGCAAGAACTCCTGAAATGGGGTTATAGGGTTTAGGGTTAGGGTAGTGTTCGAGGACATCAGGGGTCAAGGCTTTACTGGCTTGAGGGCGGCATGTTCTGCTCACGATGACAGCACTGTCGCTCCTCCGATGTGTTCCAATTCTGGACCACATCGAGGCCTTCTCCATTGAACTCCCCGCCATACAACCAATCGCGTAGGCGCACGAACCCAACCTCAGGAGACGCATGCCCGCGGCTCCGCCCGCAAAAGGACCAATAACGTACTAGAATTTGACATATTATACGATCATCTACTATAACATACTGTAACCTTATATTAGAAACCAAGATTATGCTATCATATACTGCTACATACTTCTACTATAGCAGCTCCAGAATCGGTCCGGTCAAGGCACGATCACGGGAGACATGGCCTGCAAGATGCGAGAGGAATGACCTCGGCCGAGCTTCATAATCTGACTCCCCATATTGCATTATAGTATATCATAGTATACTGCAGGGGATTATCAGACATCATCCCCTACTAGAGTACATTATCGTATACTATAGTATGTTGCAATATATTGCAGCAGATTACAGTCTGTTATAGTTAAAAACGTAAAATAGTGTATAGTAGTATATCACATTATAGTGCTGCGATGCTGCTTTACAGCTATCTGAACCCTTCCTGGCATGCTCAACCCCAAACCCCAGATCTGCAACCCTAAACTCTAAACCTTAAAACCCAAAGCCCTGAAATCAATACCCTAAACCCTAAACCCTAAACCGTGGAACCCTGGACAAAGGCGGAGGCTCACGGCATCGACGAAGGCGGCCGTCTGCAGGTGTTCCTCTCGAGCATCAACTCTCATGGAAAGCAGGTTCAGGGGTTTGGGGCTTAGGGTTTCCAGGTTTGGGGTGCGCTTCGGCAAAAGCTAACGTTTTCATTCCTGTCTATTACAGTATATGGAGGCCAACAAAAATAGGGAACCCTCATATAGTACCCTAAATAGTAGGACCCTTTTTATGAGGACCCCCAAAATTTTTTCGAAAACTCCCATATTTGCAGTCTGCGATAACTTAACTAGAGGGACTCGTAACCTGGTGGCCAGTCGAGGAGTGCGTGGCCGGTGTATCATCTTGTCGCTGGCGACGATTCCCTCCCTGCGCCAGCTCACTGCAATGTAGTATGGTCAATTATGGTGTAACTTCAGTATATGGTAGATATTGCAGTATGCTGTGGTGTATTTCTAGCACGAAAAATAAACTAGGCCCGCAATGAAGCATCGCATTATCGCACGTGCCAATGGCTCAGATCGAACTGCAGGCGAACACGTGAACTGGCGGAGTTCCTGCACTCAGTCGGCTGATATGGGCATGCAGAAGTAAAGCCCCCGAAAACAACCAACGAGCTGTTAGCCCCTAAACCCTAAACCCTAAGCCCTAAGCCCTAAACCCTAAACCCTAAACCCTAAACCCTAAATCCTAAACCCTAAACCCTAAACCCTAAACTAGCCGTCCTCGACAACATGATCGGCTCGAGTCAGCCGTCTGGCTGCCCAGTGCCATAGCCGTCGAGAACTCATTGCATGAGATTCTGAAGGTGAGTGCGAAAAGTTGGCCTAAGCTGCGGGATGGGTGTGAAAGCCTAAACCCTAAACCCTAAACCCTAAACCCTAAACCCTAAACCCTAACCCCCAAACCCTAAACCCTAAACCCAAACTGAAGACATGCTCAGCTGAGCCATGGCGAAGGACATGGAAACAGGTTCTGCCACAGCAGGACTTTCAAGGGCATCGGTTTAGGGTGTAGGGTTTAGGGCCTGCTTACAGTTCACATAGCTCCTCCAGCGCGACTCTGAGAGCAGTGAGAGTTGAGTGGCCTAAAGAGCAGAATCAAGCTGAAAACTGATCTGGCCCCAAACCCTAAACCGAAAAAACCCTAAACCCTAAACCCATGAACTTTAAAGCCCACGGATTGGCGACAGAAGCCTCAGACTCCAAAGCGCGGCAGTTGGCTCCAGAACTCTTTCTCCAACCCTTGAACCTAGACCCTACATATGGGTAGTTGTCAAAATTATGGTCCCTTCTGGGCTACCCTAAATAATAGGTGCCGTATTATAATAAGGACCCAAAAAGGGACCATAATTTTGACAACCACCCCCATCCCTAAACCCTAAATGTTCCTAAACCCAAAGCATCCTTCACCCCTTTAGCCCGAATCCTGCCTAAACCCTAAACATCCTTCAGCCCTAAACCCCAAACCTTCCTAAACTTATTCCTAAACCCTAAACATCCTTCAGACCCTGAACCCCAAACCTTCTCCTAAACCCCAAACGTCCTTCAACCCTACAGCCTACACCTGAAACCCCCTAAACCCTAAACCCTAAAACTCTGAACCCTAAACCCTAAAAGCCTAAACCCTAAACCCTAAACCCTAAAAGCCTAAAGCCTAAACCCCAAAGCCTACACTTGAAACTCCCGAACCTTCAACTCGAGGAAGCCGTGGGGGGGGCCTCCGTCTTCCCCGCTCCGCTCTCGCCCGTTATGAGCAAGGCTTGCCTGCTGAGGCGCCAGAGAGACGGGTTGAAGGGTTTGGGGCTTCATAAGGTTTAGGGTTTAGGGTTTTATAGGGTTTAGGGTTTAAGGTTTTATAAGGTTTAGGGTTTAGGGTTTAGGGCTTTATAAGGTTTAGGGTTTAGGGTTTAGGGTTTTATCAGGTTTAGAGTTTAGGGTTTAAAAGGTTTAGGGTTTACAGGGTTTGTGGGTCTAGGGTTTGTAGGGCTTTAGGGCTTTTAGGGGTTCAGGGATGTTTGGCATTTAGGGTCCAGGGAAAACTGTCCCAAAGCTTGGGACATGGCCCGGAGAGGCATGAATCTGGGAGAATAATGCGCTCATGCTCATCCGTGATGTGCGCACATGCACTGCAAAGTGCGACAGAAGCCATCCGAAGACATTTCCCCGATGCCACTGCTGAGACACAGGGATCTGATCCCAGGGATCAAACCAAAACGAGAAGAAATCAGGCTCACCTCCTTCCCGTGGCAGACAATGCTTGCTGGACCACAGCATAGAGGTGCGGAGCCTGCGGTGTGGCAACGTCTTCTGATCTCTGATCCCGATGTTTCGGTTTCTGGGAGCCAAAATCACACAGACACACCCTAAACCCTAAACCCTAAACCCTAAACCCCAAACCGTCACACAAACACTCAATATCTGCAGCTATGCCATGCTTCGTCTCCTGTGGCGGTCTGCTTGAAGAGTACCGCGCCGCCATCTCCTATGGCGAAAGCCAAGAGAAGCTCAGGCTCAGGGAGCTGGCGCGAGGAAGGTCTTCAGGCTTTACGGGTTTGGAGGGTTTAGGGTTTAGGGTTTAGGGTTTGGGGGTTGAGGGATTGTGGGCTTGGGGTTTGGGGCCTTTTCGTTTGGGATTTAAGGATTTTAGGGGTTTTGGATGGACGGGTTCAGGGGTTTGGGGTTAACGGGTTCTGCTTTCAAGGAGGCTGCAGCATATCATAATTGGCGAGGGTGTCTGATTTCGTTCCGCCATCTCAAACGCAGGCAAACAAGAAATCCCTCAAGGCACTTGATACAAAGTCGACGATCGACATAAGAACACGTATGAGGCATTGGCTGGCTGCTAGCTGGCTGTAGCTGCCGTTGTCATCTTCGACACCATAAAGTCATTCCAAACATCGTGTCTCATACTAACAGCACTAATGATAATGAGAAGCAGACGAAGCTTGAAGACAAAAGTAACAATAGTACTAATCATGTCGTTCAGAACAAGACTTGCAATGGTACTACACAACCTTAAGACTGAGACTGCTAAACTTGTAGTAATAGAGATGCTGCCAATAGCAACAAACACAGTCATAATGATGTAGGCAATAGCAACACAATACGTAATGGTAGTAATTACTGCAACGAATACCATGGCCAATCACGACAAACACAGCAATCATAACAATGATATAGGTAACAACAACAAATAAACTATGCTGGTAGTTGCAGTAAAAACGATGTAGGCAACAAGAACATCAAACTATGTTGGTAGTAACAATAAACAAAACTATACTGGTAACAAAATTTTAAACGATAATATGAAGAATCATGGGGCAGGGCCTACCTCGCCGAAGGCACCCACGTCGGAGTAGGGATTCACGGACACCAGGACATCGCCCAACCAGGTGTAGATCTGCCCCCTTTCGTACCTGGGGAATGGGGTTTATGGTTAGGGTTTAAAGTCTTGGATATAAGGTTCAGGGCTTGAGGGCTTAGGGTTTAGGGTTTAGGGTTTTGGTAGTAACGGAACCTACATGATAGCATGGCAGCAGCAGTGGTACTCATTGGTCGCTGAAGCAGTGCTACTACCAGTACCGATTACTACCAATACTAGCACTAGTGCTGGTACTAATACCAGTACTACGTACTGCTGATATAACCAGAAGGAGCAGGCGCAGCAGCAGGAGGCTTTTTGGTAGTATGTGAGAGCTCGGCCGAAGCATTTCCACTGCGAGGCTGTGCAGCCAAGATCTCTCCTTTTGCTTTCTACTTTCTGACAACTCCATGTTAGACAAGGCAATGCAGCTTTGGAACCTGCTGAGTTGCACGGCGCAGTTGGACAAGTGTCCAGATACGTATGCCTGCACTACCTTAAGGACCCTAAACTATGGCAATAATTGTATATTGCTTATGGAGGGCAATGCAGGATTTATATCATCAACCGCAGGGTGTCTCCTACATCTGATCAAAGGGATGATGACAAAGGTTACGACCATGGAAAATCCAACAGAAGCTTCCTTGTGGAAGACCCTTTATCTGTACACTTCCCAAACTGCCCCCACGCGATACTATGCTCTACCATACTATACCAGGCTAGGCAAAACTATGCTCCTCTATTGATGCTAGACCACGCTAAACCCTAAACCCTAGACCCTAAACCACCCTAAACCCCAAAAACCCTAAATATACCAGACCAGACTAGACCAGACTTTCGGACATCGCCTGGCCCATAAGCCGCGCAGAAGCTCGGAATCACTGAAGTCCTCTCGAGGGTGACGTCGGATGTTCTTTGTAGGGTTTAGGGTTTTGGGTTTAGGGTTTAGGGTTTAGGACTAGGGCTTTTTGTTTTACACCGGACCCCAAGGCTAGGGTTTAGGGCGAGGGTTGTTTTCTAAACCGGACCCTAAGGCTAGGGTTTAGGGTCCAGGGTTTTGATAAGGGCTTTTGAAGGGTCCTTTCAGGGTTGTTCTTATGATGGCTCTTCTTATGGGCTTACCGCGGCAAGATGGCCGGGAGTAAACATGGGGCCAGGAAAAAAAAAAAGAGACCGCTAGGATGCGTAAACCGAAGAAACAAGGTGGACAAGAAGAGAGAGAAAGAGAGAGACAAAGACATGGACATAGACACAGACATAGACAGAGAACGCG